CATAGCTCACAGCAACCTCCAACTCCTGGGCTCAAGCGAGTCTCCTGCCTCAGCCTCCCAAGTAGCTGGGACCACAGGCACCCGCCACAATGCCCAGCTATTTTTTGGTTGCAGCCGTCATTGTTGTTTGGCAGGCCCAGGCTGGATTCGAACTCTCCACCTTGGGTGTATGTGGCTGGCGCCTTAGCCACTTGAGCCACAGGCGCTAAGCCGGGAAGAAATTTTTTATCTGTCTTACCCAATGCTACATCTCCACTGGCTAGAATAGTTCATGGTATATACCAGGCACTCAAAAATATTTACTAAATGAATGAATGCAAAGTAGACACACTACTCAAGCTTGTGTGACCACACATGACCTACTTCTAGAAGTGTTTATTCATCAAATGAGTTTTCAGCTTCCTTCATTAGGCACTGGTAGATACTGGTATTATAATGTACTAGAAAGAATGGTCCCTTATCTCAAGGAGTGCAGAAATCTTCTAAGTCCAGCAGTCCACAAGTAACTTTTAGGAAAGGGAGCTACTAAGAGATTCTTATGTTTCTGTCTAAATTACAATAATTATAATTTCTGTCTAAACACAAAAGCCTCTACTTGAAATACCTCGATCTTTTCCCGGCCTTTTGAAATTGTTTCCAGAATTAAGATTTTTAGTCCAAATATACCATATACCTTTGTCAGCAAGTTAATAGTAACACACAAATCTTCAAAAGTAAATTTGGCTAAGATAAAAGTTACATTGTACCCAGTGATTCCAAACTTGGCCTGATCTCTGTTCCATAATGATCTTCTTGAACTTCTTGCAAACAAAGGACCTTGAAAGAAAAAAATAGCTTGAATTACAACATAGAGATGTACAGGTAAATTTTCTGGTGTGTTGACCTTTAAAAATAGGCTTCTAAAGCCCCAAACCTGATGATAATTGAAATGATTGTAACATTTATTACTTACATAGATCTACCAAATTAGTATTTCCAAGTTTGATCAACCTCAACACTCTGGCCTTGTGGGTAAATGTCTAACCTATCTAAAATAAATAAATAAACAAACAAACTGTGGCTTTTTAATAAAATGGAACTCTCCTTTCATCCAAAATTAATGATTTCCAAAATGAAATATTTTAAATTTACATGTCAGGGTATTTTACATGAATTTGCATGTTCCTTAATAATCTTTCAGGTCCTTTTTTTTTAATAAACAAATTTAATGACCAAATGATAGACTGGTCAAAAACATGCATCACGAAAGCTGATCCCTGTACTAGGAAAAAGCTGATCCCTGTACTAGGAAAGAACTCTTGCAAGCACCCAAGAGACAAACAGTTCTTTTTTTTTTTAAGAGACAGAGTCTCATTTTGTTGCCCTCAGTAGAGTGCTACGACACCACAGCTCACAGCAACCTTTAACTCTTGGGCTTAGGTGATTCTCTTGCCTCACAGGTCCTTTCTTT